TGCAGTGCCCGGGAGTGGCCACTGCACTCCAGTCTGGGTGACAGAGTGAGACTCCAACTCAAAAAAAAACAAAAAAAAAAACCCGACAAAAAACAAAACCCTGGGCTCGGGCAATCCTCTCACCTCTGCCTTCCAAAGTGCTGGGATTACAGGCGTGAGTCACAGCATACAGCCGCGAACACTTTTACTCAATACCTATTCTTCAGATAGGGTATGTTGATACCAAGATAAGACATGTAGTGAGAGGACACAGGGCTGGTCTGAGACTACACAAAGTAGGAAACTGCCTCTTGCCTGGCTTCTTCCTGAGTGAGGATTCAATGCATTTTCATGCTGAGGCTCCACTTCGTTTTGGACTTGGGTCATTAGCCTTTCTACTCCTAGGCTTTTCCACTGGAAGGTAGGTGAGATTAATATACTCACCTGAGTTAACATGCCAAGTGCTTAGAACAGTGCCTGGCACGGGCAAGCCTAAACTACTGGTTTAGGGAGATGCCCTACAGTTATCTGGCTTCTAAGAAAAGCCAAGCTGTTTATTTCCCAATGCTTAACTAGCTCCCATTCTTATATCCACCTACTGCCCTGAACACCTCCATGTGCTACAACCCATCACCCAAACTAATCCCATCCACCTTCCTCTCCTAGCGGCTTCAGTACTAGACCATACCTTCTAGTTGGTTACCACTAGTCCCCATCCTCCAGGGTGTGTTTTCTATGTTGGCAGCTAGTACTGGGGCTTGACAAGGGTTCTATTGTGACCTAATTCTCTCACATCATAAGGATGGCTAATTCTGGCAATTTCTAGCTTAGTCAGATACAGGTAGTAAAGGCTTAACCAGCATACTAGTTAGTCACTTAAACCAAGTGTCTTTCTTGCTAAAGTCAAGTTTCCTCCAGTACATGATAGGAAGCTACAGGATTGGACCGACTACCATCTAATCTATACTCAATCCAGACTTCTAATTCAACACCCATGTCCAGCAACTCACTGGTAACTGAGCCCATCAGGCTTTCTGCAGTTCTCAAGCAGTACTATTCATAAACAACTGTTTTTTGGCTGATGTCACCACTGTATTTATTTCCACATAAAAATGGATAACACAAACATGTAGTCAACTTTATTTTAATTCATAAATACATGAATGAGTTTTGTTAGGTCTATTACAAAGAATTTGCTAGGTGAATTATAAAAAATTACATTAGAATAAAAAACGAACACAGATCTCTTCTGCATATTTTGTATCCGTGAAGTAATTACTTGGAAACTCAATTGCCTACTTGAGAATGGTGAAGAGAAAAGCCATGTAATCTTAGTGCCATGACTAATCTTATCTTCTAATTCCCAGATGATCCCAAAATTTTAAATAGTAGACCAGCAGACTTTTCTGTTTAATGGCAGTTTTCAAAAAGGTGTCAAGTGTGCCCAAAACGTTCTCCAAATGTGCCAGAGATTTTTACCTCTCCCTGTTAAAATGCCAGTTTACTAACTTGATTAAATAAGCGAAAAATTCTAAGGGGACCTCCAAAAAACCTGGAATATATTTATAACAAACTATTTATTCTTATATGCTTAAACTTCAGTCACATTCAAAGTACTCTCTATTTGATGCAATACGCCTATCAAGATGCTTTTTCCACTGCTCAAAACAGTTCCTGAACTCATCTACTTTGATGCCTTCTAATGCATCTGATGTATTTTGTTTCACTTCTTCCACATTTGCAAAACGTTTCCCTTTGAGAACTTTTTTCATCTGGGGAAACAAACAAAAAAAAAATCACTTGGGGCGAGATCAGGTGAATAGGGAGGGTGGGGCACCAGGGTTATGTCACTTTGGGTCAAAAACTGCTAGACACTCAGCGCAGTGTGGGCAGGTGACCTGCCTGCCAAAACTCAGGACATTTCTTCTGGAAACTGTGACAAAACCTTTTCAAATCTTTCAGATAAAAACTTTAGTTGACCATTTGATCCGAAGTAACAAATTCTGAATGCACAATCCCTCTCACATCAAGGAAACAAATGATCATTGTTTTCACATTTGACTTTACTTATTGTGCTTTTTGGGATTGTGGGGAAGTGGCAGTTTTCCATTGGCTAGACAGTTGTTTCATTTCAGGGTCACAACCATAGTACAAATATTGGACTCCGGTTATAACTTTGGAAAAAAAAATCAGGGTCAGCCTCCAATCGTTCTTTCAAAGCATCGCATGCAGCCAAGAAATTGTCTCTGTTCAGGTGTAAGTGAGGCATGAATTTTGCTGAAGCTTGCATTACATCCACATTTTCAGATAAAATTCTCTGAATAGGAACTCCATGACACCCCAGTCAGCTCCACAAGTTCATCAATAGTCCGACAGCAGTCTTCTAAGATGGTTTGACAAATTCTTAACACATTTTCTTCAGCTCAGCTGGTCAAAGGACACCCAGAATGAGGCTGATTATCAATCAACATTTCACCTCATTTAAAACAGGAAAACCATCTGTAAATTTGCATTTTACCCAGAGCAGCGTCTTTGTAAGCTGTCTGTATCATAGCAACCATTTCCACCACATTTTTCACTAACAGAAAACAAAATTTCACTGAGGCATGTTGTTCATGTAAATCACCCATCATGAAATGGGTAAACACTTTGAAAGAATCTCCATGGAAGCCGAAAGAAGCCTCTCGCAACACTAGCAGTCACCGATGGGCTCCTAGAACACTTACCTAGTGGGGGAGGCTTGTGCTACCAGGGACTCACCCTCCAAAAGATAATTCCAGTTTTTTCTGAATGCCCCCTTGTAAGCAACAATGTCCAAACATCAAGTGCAGATCTTCTTCTTTCCTGAAGGAAAACAAAGATTAGAAATCTGAAGATCTTACTTCAACTTAAATTGTAGTGCACCAGACATGTTTCCTACATGGTTTGTCTCCTCTGTCTTGTCCACAGGACTCTGAGAAGTCATAGGAATATGCCAGCATAGACTTAAGGCCTGGTTTCATCTCTAACATTATGGAAAGGTACTGTATATCACTAGGCAGAGCCCTATCTCCCATATACCATCAGGACAGAGCCTGGGAAGAACGAACTCCCAGGATATCCACAATGGAATGTCTGAGAGACAAACTCACAGTAACAAATGCAACATTGCTAAACATCATCACCCCTCAAAACATTTTCAAGGGCAATAGTCTTTTACTGAGCACATTTATATTTGTATATATCAAACAAAAGAATTGAGCTCAGAACGACTAAATGTCTTAGAGGCTGACCCTGACCAACTTGAACAGGGGTCACTTTACTCCTATTTTTATTATAGAAAAGGTTGACAAGCAAATACTGATAAGACAGACATTTCAGAGAAGATTTACTTACCCAAATAAGTGTTATCTGGAATCGTGAACAAATCCTGCAAAACAAGGCAATAATCTGTGAATACAGTACAGAGCACCAAGTTTCTCCTAATCACATAAGATGAATTACAATCTAGGTTCGGTGCTGTATAAGGCTGTTTCCTGCATGGTTTGTCTCCTCAGTCACTGTCCATAGGACCCTGAGAAGTCGTAGGAATATATAGGCGCAGACTCAAGGCCCAGCTTCATCTCCAACGTAGCGGAAAAAGACTGTACATCACGGGGCAGAGCCCTGCACTCCCATTCGCCACCTGGACAGAGCCCGGGGAGAGTGACTGTTTGGATTTTCCACGTTGGACAGTCATTGGAGTTCATTTAGTTTACAGACAACCGTGGTCGAAAACCGTGGTAGGGAACACGATCTGACAAGCTCCCCGAAGACACCCATATTATCACACATCCTAAATCCCCAAAACGCAAATGAGATTGGGTTTCAAGACCACCTGACACTTATCAGCAATTTTAATTAGCTCTCAGATATCCCAGGCAAACTTACCCACCTATCTGAAGTTAAAAGAGAACATGTGCAGTTCTTGAATTACCCCAAAACACGGCTGACAGACAGTAGATTTAGGGGCCATTTGCCAAGAAATTACAAACATTCTGAACCTGCGGGCGGGTGTCCGGAATAAGTTCTCTGGGTACAATCCCTGGAGGACAGTGTGCCTGCTGGGAGGCAGGGGTCCTGCCGCATCTTTAGCATCTCGGCGAGTCGGGAGGCCGCCCTGGAGACCTCAGGGCGTGTTCCTTACCACGGTTGCCTGTGAATTAAATGAGTTCGACAGTCCAACGTGGAAAACCTGGGCCCACATACAGCCCAGCCCCGTCTCACGCGCATCTGTAGGTGGAACGGACGCGCTGAAGCCTTTATAAGGTAAACTTATAAATAACACGGTCCTCACAGGAAAACCTGCTGACCAACGAGGTACTTGAGCCACAGCCGAGGAACCAGACGAGTAAAAACACTCACCAATCCGCCCGACACGCAGCCTCGTCTAAGTGACCGGAAGTCAAGGAATGACTAGTGCGCCTGCGCGGGCACACGCACAGTCAGAAAATCGGAGACTCGCTAAGGCTGCTGGGACCTACTGCGTAAGCCCCACCCCTGCCTGGCTCGGAGGTCTCGCGGCACTCGAGCCTCCCTGGAAACCGGAATGACGGTAGGCTTGTAGGTGTGCGGCTGGAAGTACTGACTGTACTGACTGGAAATTTGCTTCGCTACAGTCGCTGCACCCAATCTGTAGGATATGCCGTTAGGTAGAGTGGCCCAAAAATTTTATAAGAATGCGAAGTGGAGAGAAATGCAGAGTGTCAAAAGATTAAATCTCGCCTGTCACATGTGAAAGAAACATTTGCTAAATGCCTAGGTAAGTAGGATGGAAGCACAATCAAAAACCTCCTGTGGAAACAGCCTGAATGTACTTAAAGCCACAGATCCATACACTTACAACTAGTTAAAATGGTAAGTTTTTGTTATGTATAATTCACCACACACAAAACCCTACTAATATAAAGTAGGCAAATAAAGAATGCTTAGAATACATATTACATGCGAAATGCTGCAAATGTGATGAAATTTTGACCATAGTGTTAGGAGAATAAAGGTTGGATTGGCAGAGGGCTATCAGCTGGGCTATACTAAATAGAAACATTGACAGTGTTCCTTCTAGATTTTGTGCTGGGTGCCTTAAATACGTTATTTACTATTGTAGCAATTCTAAGACATTGGTATTACTCAGATTGGAAACAGGCCAGAGCAGAATCCTCAAAATGTGGTCAGCAGACCCCAGGGTACCTGAAGTGTTTTGGGAGGTCCATGAGGTCAAAACTTTCATAATACTTAGACTTTGCCTTTTTTGCTGTTGACATCTGCACTGATGCTGCAAACAGTTAAGGGTGGTGTCAGGCATGGTGGCGCATAGTAATCCCAGTTACTTGGGAGGCTGAGGGTGGGAGGATCACTTTAGCCCTGGAGTTGGAGACTAGCCTGGGCAACATAGCAAGATACTGTCTTTCTGGTCTTGCTAAGTTTCCCAGACTGGTCTCAAATTCGTGGGCCAAGGCAATCCTCTAACCTTGGCCTTCCAAAGTGCTGGGTTTATAGGCATGAGCCACTGAGCCTGGCCAAGACCCTGTCTTTAAAATAAAAAAAAATAAAATAAAAAAAAGCCATGCTTTAGCACAGCTAAATCACTGTATCATTCAAAATTTTTGTGTTTGCTTTTCCTTGAGTCAGGGTCTCACTCTGTCATTAACTAGAGTGCAATGGCACAATCATGGGCCAGTCTTAACCTCCTAGGCTCAGGTGATCCACCTCAGCCTCCCCAAGCTGCTGGGATTACAGTTGAGTGCTGCCATGCCTGGCTAATTTTTCATTTTTGTAGAGATGAGGTTTCATTATGTTGCCCAAGCTGGTCTTGAACTCTTGGGCTCAAGCAGTCCTCCTACCTTGGCTTCCCAAAGAGCTGGGATTACAGACATGATCCACCACCCCAGCTCCACCTAACAAAGTCCTTGGATGAAGAAAAATCATTTTTATTAACTCTCAACTTTAGTATTTTGTTAATATTCTGTGACAGAACACATAAAGCACTATTGCTGAATACAACAGTACAGTGATTGTCTCTACATAATTTAGGTGATTGAGTTGTGAACTAAAACAGCTTTTTCATGATTAATATTTTACTTGAAAGGCTTGTTGACATATTTTCCAACTATGTAACTTTGTTGAGACTTAAACCAGAATCTTACAAACTATATACCTTAAGACAAAACAACAACTATCAACAGGTTGGGCTCACACCTCTAACTCCAGGCTTTTGGGAAGCTGAAATGGGAGGACAGCTTAGGCCCAGGACTTCAAGATCAGCTTGGGCAGGCAACATAGTAAGATTCACCCTTATACAAAATTTAAAAATTTGCCAGGAATGGTGGTGTTTGCCTGTAGTCTAAGTTACTTTGGAGGGTGAGTCTTAGAAAAGCCTGCTTGAGCTCAGGAGGTTCAGCCTAAGAAGAGATGTAACAGTACCACTGCACATGAGCATGGATAAGAGACCCTGACTAAAAAAACATAAAACCAGCTGGGCTCGGTGGCTCAGCCTGTAATCCCGGCGCCTTTGGGAGGCTGAGGTGAGTGGATTGCCTGAGCCCATGGGTTCGAGACCTGCCCGGGCAGGTGAGACCTCATCTCTACAATAAATCAAAAAATCAGCCGGGCATGGTAGCGCACACCTGTAGTTCCAGCTACTTGGAAGGCTGCGGTGGCCGGGATTGGCCATTGCACTCCAGTCTGGGCGACAGAGCGAGACTCCAAAAAAAACCAAAACATAAACCCAAAAATGGGATGGATTGGAAAAGGTCACTAGGAGTGGCAACAGGTTGCCTTTAGGAGGCTATTTCAGGTAACCCAATGAGATGGTAGTGGTTTGATTAAGTTTGAGGCAAAAAGTAGACTAAATTTGCCCATGGATTAGTAGCGGATAGTGGAGATGGAGGCCTCACTATGTTGCCCAGGTTGGTCTCAAGCAATTCTGCCTTGGCCCCACAAAGTGTTAAGATTACAGGTGACTGCTGGGAGCAGTGTCTCAAGCCTGTAATTCTAACACTTTAGGAGTCCAAGGGTTTGAGATCAGCCTGGGCAACTTGGTGAGACCTCATCTCTACAGTAATTAAAAATTAGCCAAGCATGGTGGCAGGCGCCTGTGGTTCCCCTACTTGGAAGGTTGAGGCGGGATTGCCTGAGCCCAGCACTTTAAGGCTGCGCTGGCCATGAACGTGCCACCGTACTCCAGCCTGGGCGACACTGACTCCAACTCAGAAAAAAAAGATTACAGGCATAAACCACTGCATCTGGCCAAGATAAATACTTTTTGAGTTGGAGTCTGTTACCTAGGCTGGAATGCAGTAGCACTCACGGCCACCGTAGCCTCAATACTGGTGATCCTTCTGCCTCAACCTTCCAAGTAGCTGGAAACACAGGCATGCACCACCAAGCCTGGCTATTTTTTTACTGGAGAGACGAAGTCATCAAGTTGCCAAGGCTGGTCTTGAACCTCTAGATTCAGGCAATCCCCTCTCCTTTGTCTCTCAAAGTGCTAGGATTACAGGCCACCACTCCTGGCATCAAGAGGAATACTTTCAACTTGGGTCATAAGCTTTTCTGTTCCTAGGCTTTCCCACTGGAAGGTGGGTGAGTAACATGCCAAGTGCTTAGAATAGTGCCAGACACAGGCAAGCCTATAATACTGGTTTAGGTATATGCCCTGCAGTTACCTGGTTTCTAAAAAAAGCCAAGCTGTTTATTCTCCTATGCCTAACTAGCTCCCTTTCTTATATTCACCTAATGGCCTGAACACCTCATATGCTACAACTCACCACACAAACTAATCCCACTTACCTTCCTCTCCTAATAGCTTCAATGCTAGACCATACCTTCTAGTTGGCTGTTACTAGTCCCCATGTTATAGATTATGTGTTTCCTATGTTGACAATCAGTGTAGGGGCTTGATAAGGGTTTAATTGTGACCCAACCCTCTCATATCATGAACCTGCTTAATTCTAGCAATTTCTAGGCTCACTTAGGTACAGGTTATATACAGCCCAAATTTTATTAACATTCAAGTGTTTTTTGGCGGATGACACTATTGCACCTATTTCCACATGAATATCACACAAATCTGTCATCAACTTTATTTTTATTTTTCATTCATAATACATTGAATCCTGCTAGGCCTATTACAAAGTTTAGGTGAGTTACGAATCACTACATTAGAAATCAAAACCAAGACACCTAGTTTAAGTGCTTTTGCATCTTGTATCCATCATGTAGTTACTTGGACTGTCTGAGGATGGGGAATAAAATAAGAAGCAATCTTAAGTCCCATGACTAATTCTGACTTCTAATCTCTAGTTGATCCCAGCACTTTTCTGTTTAATGGACAGTTTAACAAAAGTACCAAATTTTCAAACCCCTCCCTGTTAATGTCAGCCTACCAACTCCACTAAATACAAGAGTGATCCAAAAAAGCCCAGAATTTCTTTAAAATCGTGCATTCTTAAACTTCAGTCACCTTCAAAGTACTCTCCACTTGATGCAATGCACCTATCAAGACGCTTTTTCCACTGCTCAAAACAGTTTTTGAACTCATCAATTTTAATGCCTTCTAGTGCTTCTGTCGTTTTTTGTTTCACGTCCTCCACATTTGCAAAACGTTTCCCTTTGAGGACTTTCTTCATCCGGGGAAACAAAAAAAAGTCGCTTGGGGCGAGATCAGGTGAATAAGGAGGGTGGGGCACTGGAGTCATGCCATTTTGGGTCAAAAACTGCTGGACACTCAGCATGGTGTGGGTAGGTGAGTTGTCATGATGGAAGAACCAGTCACCTGTCTGCCAAAACTCAGGACGCTTCTTTTGCAAACTGTGAGGCAGTCTTCTCAAAATTTCCAGGTAGTAACTTTGGTTGGCCATTTGATCAGAAGGAACAAATTCTAGGTGTACAATCCCTCTCACATCAAAGAAACAAATGATCATTGTTTTTATACTTGACTTCACTCGCCGTACTTTCTTGGGTGGTGGGGAGGTGGTGGTTTTCCATTGGGACTGCTTTTTTGTCTCAGGGTCATAACCATAGCACCAAGATTCAACTCCAGTTATGACTTTGGAAAAAAAATCAGGGTCAGCCTCCAACCGGTCCTTCAAAGCACGGCATGCAGCCAAGCGATTGCCTCTTTGTTCAGGTGTGAGCAAGCGAGGAACAAACGTCGCTGAAACTCGCATCATGCCCAAATTTTCAGACAAAATTCGCTGACAGGAACTCCATGACACCCCAGTCAGCTCCACAAGCTCATCAATAGTCCGACGGCGGTCCTCCAAGATGGCTTGACGAATTCTTACCACATTTTCCTCTGTTCGACTAGTTGAAGGACGCCCAGAACGAGGTTGATCATCAATGGACATTTTACCTCGTTTAAAACGTGAAAACCACTCATAAACTTGTGATTTGCTCAGAGCAGCATCGTTA